CGGCGTATAAGACGACTGGGCGTATAAGACGACCCCCCTACTTTTCCTGCTAAAATGTAGTGTTTGGGCTATACTCGCCGTATAAGACTACCCCTCTTCCAATGCACACCAGTGGGAGGAATAGTGCCCCATCATTGATGTCAGTGGGAGGAATAGTGCCCCATCATTGATGTCAGTGGGAGGAATAGTGCCCCATCATTGGTGTCAGTGGGAGGAATAGTGTCCCATCATTGGTATCAGTGGAAGGAATAGTGCCCCATCATTGGTATCAGTGGGAGGAATAGTGCCCCATCATTGATGTCAGTGGGAGGAATAGTGCCCCATCATTGGTATTAGTGGCAGGAATAGTGCCCCATCATTGGCATTAGTGGCAGGAATAGTGCCCTATCATTAGTATCAGTGGAGGAATAGTGCTCCATCATTGGTGTCAGTGGGAGGAATAGTGCCCCATCATTGGTATCAGTGGCAGGAATAGTGCCCCATCATTGGTATCAGTGGGAGGAATAGTGCCCCATCATTGGTATCAGTGGGGGGAATAGGTGCCCCATCATTGGTATCAGTGGCAGGAATGGTGCCCCATCATTGGTGTCAGTGGGAGGAATAGTGCCCCATCATTGATGTCAGTGGGAGGAATGGTGTCCCATCATTGGTGTCAGTGAGGGGTGGAATAGTGCCCCCCATCATTGGTGTCAGTGGGGGGTGGAATAGTGCCCCATCGTTGGTGTCAGTGGGGGGGAGGAATAGTGCCCCATCGTTGGTGTCAGTGGGAGGAATAGTGCCCCATCGTTGGTATCAGTGGGAGGAATAGTGCCCCATCATTGGTATCAGTGACACCAATGATGGGGCACTATTCCTTCCACTGAGACTTGCTGACCCTGTTCTCGTATGGTGCTGCTGCAGCCAGCATATGTGGTTGCAGCAGCACCTCTACACAGCACACTTACCTGCTGCTCCGGCACTCAATTTTCGCGGGGCCGCTCGGCTCCGCCCCCTTGCCGGTGATGAGGCGGAGCCGAGCAGCCGCACGAACATCCAGTGGCCGAACTGAAGGAGACGCCGCGCTTCCTGGACCGGATCGTCGTGGGACTGGATCCAGGTAAGAGACATCAGCCCCTGCAAACCCCTGTACTTAATGCCGCAGCCCCCCTAACATGTGTACCGGCGTATAAGACGACCCCCGACTTTTGGGAAGATTTTCAAGGGTCAAAAAGTCGTCTTATACGCCGGCAAATACGGTATATATATTTGAAAATTTATCAATTCAGATGTACTGGAGGCTGATCTCATTTCTTGAGGCCCTCAAAATACCAAGACAGTACATATACCCCTCATATGACCCTTTTTTTTTTCCATAATATTTTTTTGTTTAAATACTGTCACCAGTGTCATCATATGACTGGTGTGTCGGTGATCAGAGACACTGACTGGTAACAGTAGGTTTTAAAAAATTAAATACATAAATAATCTTTAATTAAATTTTTACATTTTGTTTTAGCATTTTTTTTTCTTGTTTGTACATGCTTTCATCAGAGTAGTTCAGTGGCACCACAGTAACACTACTACTCGGAGGCAAGGTTATGATCAGGGATTTTTTTTTTTTACACTTTAAATGCTGTTACAATGATGATCACTGTAACGGCAATGTTTTTAACTGTCTTGCATGGATTACATTCATAAGATCTGTGATTGGCTAAAGCTAATCACTTAGTACAGGAAGCTGTGATTGGCCCAGTTGATTGCTGTGGGCCAATTACAGAATCACTCTATAGAAAGCACACCTGTTATGAATGGCATTCATTCATAACAGCTTTGTTGGCATTGTGCTCATGTGATTGCTATACGATCACAAGATCCCCAAGCCATTCAAAGTTGCCGGGAGCTGAAATCTGCTGTGTCCCCTGGGAGCGGTGTGCTGCACGCACCTACTCCGGAACAGGCTGGATGACGTACACGTACATCCTCCAGCCTGCCCGTACCGTCCGTCCGCAGTAAATGTACTGTGAGTGGGCGACAAGTGGTTAAATGTGTATAATAGACTGTACTCTCTACAAAGATCTCACATTTGTATATAAAGGTGCCTTTGTAATATAACCACAATTTAGATCTCAAGCTTTCTATGTGAAAACAAAAAATTGCGGGTCCGAGATGCATATTCAGTTTTTAGTAGTTACATCTCTAGTGATTTGCTAAGAGTAATGATTGATTGCCAAAGAAATGGAACAAATGACAGAACTGAAGTCAGTTGAGATTAAATGGGAATGCTAGGCATAGTAGATTTTCATATAGTTACAATGATCTTGCTTGGACCAATGTAACTATCTGTATACAATACTTGACTGGAGTCCATGGAAGATGGAAATCACTTAAGTAGAACACCGCTACTCCAGTAATCTATTCCAGGTGAAAAATGTGACGTCACTGCCCCACCTCGTCCAATCAGAAAATGCTTTGCATTAATTTAGAAAATACAAGTATTCTCTGGATGGTGCTCATACTGAGTGGCTGAGCTCCTGTGTTCTCAATGCATCAGGTTAGCCGTTCAGAATGGGAAGCAAGTGTAGATCACTGAAGTAGTGGTGTCTACGTTGATTCCGAACATTCAGGGGCATCGGGGCCAGGTATGCTATATACATAGTTAACATTTGCCCTAGTTGGACCAATGTAACTATGCAAAAAATAAACCATGCCTGGAATTCTTTCATTCCTGCTTCTTGAGTTATTTAACATTTTAAAGTATATAACTGTATATTCCAGAGTTGTCCTGATTTGGTAACACTCCTTTAATTGTAGAACCCTGAGACATATACACCATACACTTTTTTTTTTTTCTTAATCAAAGATTATTGAAAGTGTAGTAAAAACAGGAGGCGTACAGATTCAGAACAAACAAATTGAACACAATGCAAAAATAGAGCACGCAGGCCCATTTGTACTTCATAAGGAGTCCTATAACGGAGTTTCTGATAATAACATTTAACTCCACAGTGAAAGCAATATAACAAGAGAGGTGGCAAACACTGAGCCTGAAAAGCAATACAATGTTCACAATTGCCTATCAGCAATGTAGAATCCTGCCTACTACCAAATCAGACTCAGACCCAAGGTATTTAACCATCATGCACAAAGTTTTTCAAATTTATTAGGACAGCCCGTGTTCATAAATGTATCTTTCCAATCTAAGTGTATGTACATGGCCCATGTACACCATACTTCGTTTTGTGGGAAATGTGCTGTTTTAGTAGTTCATGCAATTAAAATCTCTTTGCTAATTTGTGTAGAAGTATACAGGAGTAAAATGAACTAATATTTTGGAGAAACAAAAATGTTTCCTGATTCGTAATGTTGATACTCAAGAATATTTATTTCAACCCCGTGACGCCAACATCACAAATATGCGGCCTCACAGAACTGGGCTTTTTTCCGTGGGGCCGCATATTTACGTACCTGTCTTTGTGCTGGGAACGTGCCGCACGATGCGCTCCCAGCACAAAGACCAGGGTGTCACTGAGAGCCCTGGGTCTGGTTGAAACAATCGGGACCCCCGCTTCCAGGTCACATGATCGTTGTAATAGCCAATGATTGGCTATCACAGTGATCAGTCATTGTACAGCCGGAAACCCTAGGGTTTTTTTTTTCCCCTCTATGAATGGAGGAGAGATATACATTGTATTTCTCTAAATCCTGGCATAGAGGGGGAAAAAAAAAAAATTTGTAAAAAATAAATAAATATTAAAAAATAAAGAAAACATACCTAGACCAAGGTTTGATCTAGGTCAGGGTCAAAGGTCAAGGTTTTTTTTTTTTTTTTAAATTTAAATTTGGTATCTGTGTCAGTGTGTTTTAGGTAAAAAAAAAAAAACAATGTTTCTGGCTGTAGTACAGGTACAAATAACATACACGTATATGGTATCGCTGCAATCGTCAAGAGCTGGAAATGTATTTTGGGTTGTTCTTTGGTGGTAGGTTATGGTAGTAACAAGAAACACAACTAAAATGTAAAAAAAAAATTTTTTTTTTTTTACTATTGGCCAGTTTTCCTTTGATAATTTGTCCTGAAAAAACAAGGTTTAATTCACTTGGATGTACAAAGTAGTTGTGATTATATTTATGGTTTTACTAACACATGTCAAAGTTGCAAAATTGTGCTTAGGCATTAAGATTTGTGAAGTGGCTACAGAGACCCAACATGAAATGAACAGAAATTACAATTTATAATGAATTGTCTTTTTATTGCACCTACATAGCTGGCTAAATATTTGGAATACTTAGCAATCTCCTAGGTGCCACTTTATCACAGTGAAATGCCAAATGCTTACATGATAGCCAAAAAAAATCTGCTTTAGTTGGTAAAGGAAACAACAAAGGCCACATATAAAAACATGCAAACTATATGCTCAAAGTGCCTGAGTTGAAATAAAATAAACCAATGCAGTTTTGCCATGTACAACTGTACTTTTATATTTTGTTACACTAGAAAAAGAAATTATACACAAAATAAATTTACTGTGGAAAAAGAAGCCTTCGTTTCACAGCTAGCAGATATTGCACATGCCCAGTATAGAACCCCAGTGTACAATATACAATTACTGAAACTGTTGCTTTCTGTTTTTAAAACATTTGTTATACAATGGACGTGAAAGGCTCAATATTGAAGATATGTGATAAACTCATAAATCCTACACAATTATGTCTTCCCTATAATAAATGGTTTCTTTAATTATAAAAATGGCATTAGCTTAGTTTTTTTTTTTCTATAGACCTCCATTCGTATTGACAGTTGAGACTTTTCCAAACATTACAATGACAACAGATTGATAAAAACAACTAATTCATTCCACATAAAAAGTTTTTATTTAAATCATTTAGGAAGATAATTGATTTAGCAAAATAGCAGTGAAATGTGTATCTTAAATATGAATTTGTATATCATTTATTCAGAGTATCTTGTAATCGCAGTGTATTAAGAGGTAATATTTCTTTTGTGTATGAGGCCACATTTATTATCTGTCCAGACGATTAATGTAAAGCAATCCATGTGCCCCATAGGAATCATAACAGTCATGGGAAGTTAGACTAAGCCACTCTGGCTTGTAGCTTGTCGTGCTGTAGACAAAGCACTCTATGGTGCTAGCAGCTGGTCTCTTCTCAGGTGAGTCATCTTTACCTTCCCACTCCAATATTTCAATCCTCTTAATAGTGCGTTGGTACATGTCTGGGCAGCCTTCAAATTCATCCAGGAATTGTAGCATCTGGTCATCAACTGAATAGATTTCCCCAGCAATACGATGACCTGTTCCTGGGACTTCTAAGAGGAATGGAATGTTAGTGTTCCCTGCAATGACCAAAGGATACTTGTCCACAGTACGTCCCCTGCCTTTAAATAATGCTTTTCCATGCTTAGAATCTGTCATAATGTGGTAGTTTGGCTGTTCTTGTTTCAGAGTTCCATATACAAAAATCTTATGCATGACTTCTTCCTGTGGGGAAAATTTAATTTAGATATGTGGATGTTTACACTCCATAACATAAATGGTAGGATATGTTTAATTAATGACACATTTGGTTTATTTTCTCTAAAACAACCCCTAACATGACCCATTCTTTAACCACTAGCCTACAGGGCACTTATACCCCCTTCCTGCCCAGGCCAATTTCCAGCGCTGTTGCACTTTGAATGACAATTGCGCGGTCATGCAACACTGTACCCATATGAAATTTTTATCATTTTTTTGTGACAGATAGAGCTTTATTTGGTGGTATTTAATCACCTCTGGGTTTTTTTATTTTTTCTTAAACCAAAAACCACTGAAAATTTTGAAAAAAAAAGTTTTAGTTTTTGTTATAAATTTTGTAAATAAGTGATTTTTTTCCTTCACTGATGTGCGCTAATGAGGCTGCACTGATAGGCGGCACTGATGGACACTGAAAGGCAGCACTGATGGTTGACACTGAAAGGCAGCTCAGATGGGCACTGATATGTGGCATTGATAGGTGGTGCTGCTGGGGCTACACAGATCAGGGCACACTGATCATCAGTGCCCTGATGATCTGTGTACATGTCCCCTCCGAGGAATGCCGATTACCGGCTCTCCTCTCCTCAAGAGCTGTCAGCGTGACAGCTCGTGAGGAGAGAAATGCCGATAACCGGCATTTCCCTGTTTACATGCGATCAGATGTGTTTGGACACAGCTGATCACATGACCGAGCCGACATTTTCGGCTCTTTCTGTGGATCGGTGATCTGCTGTGTCCGAGGGACACAGCGCACCGCTGATCACCATGTGCTCCTGGAGCCGCACATGCGCAGTTAGAATGGGAGGACGTCATATGACGTCCTCCCAGAACGATAGAACCACCTTGCGTCCGTCATATTACTATATGGCGGGTGGGAGGTGGTTAAAATCTGGTTTGTTTTTTTTTAACCACTAGGGGACCGCCCGCAGTACATATACTGCTACAAGGCGGCCCCTGTGTGCAGGATCACGTTTATAAACTAATTTTTCTTTTATCACTTGCCGGTAAATGACTCATATGCAGCACAGTGCCAGTACTAGTGCCACGCTACCTTTTGGTGAACTGACGAGAACCAGCGGTCTAGTATATCCTGGTCTTTCACATACCTCTTAGATTATAAGCTCAAAGGGGCAGGGCCCTCCTAACCCTCTTGTATTGAACTGTATCGTTGCTGTATTGTCTCCCATTATATTGTAAAGTGCTGAGCAAACTGTTGGCTCCATATAAATCCTGTATATTAATAATAATAACACCAGCACTGCAGTATCACTTGGCGACGTGGCGAGTCCCATAAGTGCAGTATAAGCTGGTGAGGTGGCGAACACAAGTATTGTCCCACAGCCACCAAGAATTTGCACATAGGCCCATAGAGCCCGTAGTATCCTTCCGTATGTGCTTACAAATCCCGATTGGCAGCCCACAAATTCTGTAGTACCCATACTTCCCCCATTCACTGCTCAACCTGGAATTCAGGTGGAAATAGCAAATGTAACTACTCCCCTTGATTTTTTGGAGCGTTTTTTTCACGGAAGATCTGTATGCATTGATTGTGGATCATTTTATATGCACAACAATGTATTGCCGCCAACCAAAATTCAAACCTTGCCAGACCATTCACATGGAAACCCATTACGGTTTTCGAATTTATATTTTTTTGGGGCCTAACCCTCAACATGATCATTACTGAAAAAAAAAAAAAAAAATGAATTGCGGTTGTATTGGTCCACAGACCGGATTCATCATATGCCCGTGTTCTTTGCTGCCATGGCCAGGCATAGATATGAGAATATAATGTGTTTTATGCATTTCAAACATCAATACACTCTGTCATCCTCGGGGTGACCATGAATTTGACCGGCTCCACAAAATTCAGCCCCTCGCAAATCACCTTAACCAAAAATTTGCAATGTCTATACTCCCCAGCAAAAAATCTGCTCATTAATTTTTCTGGCCACCTTGCATTCAAACAATTTCTCCCCAGCAAGCGTGCCAGATATGGGGTCAAGATGTATTAGACCTGTGAGAGGGCAACAGGCTATACTTATAACTTTCAGATTTACGAGGGAAAAGATAGTCACGCGGAGCCCCATGAATGCCCAGACTACATGGGGAGCAGTGGCAAGATAGTTTGAGACTTGGTGTCATCCTTTTTCCATATGGGGTACCACTTATACGTGGACAATTTTTATTCAAGCGTGCCACCATTTGTACAATCTTGGAACTGGCGCTTGTGGCAAAGTATGACCTAATGTGTGCCCACCATTAGAAGTGGGTGGATGTAGGGCGGTATATTTTAATGGTGGGCATACCACACTTTTTTTTGGCAGAGATTTCTTCTCTTTTTTTTTCCCCCCATTCAGTCCACAGGCTGCATACAAAACAAAAAAAAAATAGAACATAGCATATACACCCAACAAGGTTCAGCGATGTACTGGTACATTACTGGACTTTGAATGGTTATACCAGGATGATGCCTACAGCTGCAGGCATCATCCTGGTGTAATTTTTTTTCAGCTGGCGATTTGGCTTTCATGTAAAAGCAATCCTATTGGCTAATTAGCTGCAGGATTGCTTTCATAAGCAGCGGGATATGATGCCCCCGCTGCCTTCCACGGCCTTCTCGGGCAGTCCCGTGCCATCGGGGGAACCCGAGAATGCAGCTGGTGTTTCTGCCAGCTTACCATAGAGCTGATTGGCGACCAGAATGGTGCCAATCATCTCTATAGCCTAAGAAATCAGAAGCTATGAGCATTTCATCACTTCAGTTTCTCAGGATATAAACAGCACCATTTGTAAATTGGGAAAGCATCTGATCACACCGATCTTGGTTTGATTAGATAATGTAAGGGAGAGAAGATATCAAAATAACTTAAAAAAAAAAAAAAAGTACCCTCACTCCCCTGCGCACACGCACACCTGCGTTGGTGAGCCTTGACCCTGTGGAAACAGCAGTTGCACCATGCATGTGAGGTATCGCCACGAACGTCAGATCAAGGGGTAATTCTAACACTAGACCTCCTCTGTATACCGTGTTCCAAAGTATTATGCAAATTCTATTTAAGTGTCACAAAGATTAAATATTTTGTTTTTCAGTTTAACTCATGGATGGAATTGTGTCTCAGGGCTCTTTTGATCACTGAAAACAATCTCATTCACCTGTGATAATTAGATTGGCCAGTGAGCCCAATTTAAGGAAAAAGTACTAAAGGACGGTGTTCCACATTATTAAGCAGAGCACCATTTTCAAGCAATATGGGGAAGAAAAGGGATCTCTCTGCTGCTGAAAAGAGTGAAATAGTTCAATGCCTTGGATGAGGTATGAAAACATTAGATATTTCACGAAAACTTAAACGTGATCATCGCACTATTAAGAGATTTGTGGCTGATTCAGAGCACAGACGGGTTCGTGCAGATAAAGGCACATTGAGGAAGATTTTTGCCAGATCCATGCATCAGATCAAGTCAGCAGCTGCTAAAATACCATTACATAGCAGCAAACAGATATTTGAATCTGCTGGTGCCTCAGGAGTCCCACGGACATCAAGGTGTAGAGTCCTCCAGAGTCTTGCAACTGTACATAAACCTTCTATTCGGCCACCAATAACCAATACTCACAAGCAGAAACGGCTGCATTGGGCAGAAAAATACATGAAGACTAATTTTCAAACACTCCTGTTCACTGATGAGTGCCGTGCAACCCTGGATGGTCCAGATGGATAGAGTAGTGGATGGTTGGTGGACGGCCACCCTGTTCCAACAAGGCTGCGACGTCAGCAAGGCGGTGGTGGAGTCATGTTTTGGGCCGGAATCATGGGAACAGAGCTGGTCAGCACCTTTAGGGGCCCCGAAGGTGTAAAGATGACCTCTGCAAAGTATGTGGAGTTTATGACTGACTACTTTCTTCCCTTGTACAGAAGGAAGAACTATGCTTTCTGTAATAAAATCATCTTCATGCATGACAATGCACCATCTCATGCTGCAAATAATACCTCTGCATCAATGGCTGTTAGGGGGATAAAAGGAGAGAAAGTCATGGTGTGGCCTCCATCCTCCCCTGACCTCAATCTTATTGAGAACCTTTGGAGCATCCTCAAGCAAAAGATCTATGAGGGTGGGAGGCAGTTTACATCCAAACAGCAGCTCTGGGAGGCTATTCTGACATCTTGCAAACAAATTCAAGCAGAAACTGTCCAAAAACTCACAGGTTCAATGGATGCAAGACTTGTGAAGCTGCTATCAAATAAGGGGTCATATGTTAAAATGTAATGTGACCTGTTAAAATGTTGTTAAAAGTTTGATTGAAATAGCTTTTGATTTCAGTAAATATGCTGCAAACACAACAAATGACAATTTTCAGTTCTTTACAACCTATAAAGTGTTTTGAAACTTACTGTGCGTAATAATTTGGAACAGTGCATTGTAAGTTTTTTATGTTTAAAAAAAATACTGTTATGATTAGGAGGTTTGTTCAATAAAATTTGAATTGTACTCTTAATAATTGATAACATGAGAATTATGCTGACTGTTATTTACATCAATTATTTAGGTAAATGAGAAAAATATCATTTTATTATATTATCAGCATAATAATTTGGTGTAAATGGTAAATGGTGTAAATCTAAAATGGTGCTTGTAAAAACATTGCCTATGGATATTAAAAACGTATGCAGTTTGTTGCCATTGCACGGGGCATGCACAGTTTTAAAGTTTGTCACGTTTGGTATCTATTTACTTGACATACTATCATCTTTTATATTTTACCAAAAAAATTGGGCAATATATTGTGTTTTTATGCATTAAAAGTTAAAAAAAAAGTGTATTTTAAAAAAAAAATTGCATTTGAAAAATCGCTGCGTGAGTGCTATGTGACATAACAAATTGCAGCACCCACCATTATTTACTAGGGTGTTTGCTTTAAAAAAAATATATAATGTTTGGGGTTTAAATTAATTTCC